AACGAACTTCAAGCAGGACGTGATTGAGCCATGCGAACGAGATCATCTTGAAAATTTTAGAAGTTAAACGGGGCAAAGCCCGCGGGTTACAGCTAGTTGTATATGTATATATTTTGGCTCCTTTGCAGTTTTAATGTCGCCTTCTGAAAAGCAAATGCTTACCGTGAAACAGCTGTGTATGTGTTAGTCTTGGCAGATTGAAGGCGTGAGTAAATTATCAAAACTCTGGAAGGTGTCAGTAAGTCTTAAATTATGTTGCTAGGATTTAAAAGGACTAACAATTTATGGGGTCTTTGATTGTATGACATTTTACAGTGTTTAATTTGATCAAATTAGTTTCTGCTATTCTTTTAATTATTTTATAATTTTCATGTAAATTACCTTTTAAAATAAAACAATTTTAGAATTAAAACATTTTTGGTATTGTCAATTGCATGATTTTAAAATGATGGTTTTTACTTACTCTAAATTCCCGTTTCTACACCGTAATATGATTCTACTCTTAAAGGTCTCTGAGGTGAGGCTTTCGCAGGTAAATAATAATGGGTCTCCTCAAAAAATGACAATCTATAACCCTGTACATCTTACTTTGTTTGCTTTCTTCCTTTTTGTCACCGACTTATGGAAATAAAATCAACTTTTTACCTAAGCTACGTAAGTTTATTTATCTTCTGTCGAAACCATTGATTATAGAATCGGTGATCTGTCCTACAACATTATTACTATTACTGTATTACCAATTGGGATGAACACCTAGGTACGTAATTTAACCTATATATGAATGAAGGACGCGTTGAAAATGGAGTGAGATGATTTTTTGTAGCTTTTTAACTTGTCATGGACAGCTGGGTCCAGTTTTGAATCAAAAAGTTAACTTTTCTCAGGATCGAACCGGCGACCTCTTTATTACCAGGCGAATACTACAACCACTCAAAAGCTCTTTGCTCAAATTATTCCTATCCCTGTTGACTTGGGTTAGCAATTTAAATTAGTAGGGTGTTTTGATTCAACATAGAAGTATAATATATTTTACCTACGACAGTTTTTTAATTAGGCCTACTAACAATCTGGTTTTTAATTACTAACAATCACTACTCATAGCTTCTTAGAGAAGTTATGTTTTCGTTGATTGTCATTGCCACTGAAAGTGATGCAACCACCTATTGCAGAATCAGCTTATTTCATTTAATTACTAGTTTGAAAACTTCGTTAAATTAATACATTACTTTTTTCAGGGAATAGGTTCTACTAGCAGCACTCTTACCATAAACACTCTTTTTATAAATACTATAAAAGGTACAATTAGGGAAGTATTGCATATTTTTTTGGACCACTGAATAATATAGTGAAACAGATAATTTACAGTTAGATCTCAGCATCGAATATGTGGTCCACAACGAGATGGGTGAAAAAGTGGTTAAGAGGTTTTCAAAATAAAACAGAAGCACATTTTCATTCATCATTTTAACCTTATTTTGTTTCGTCTAATCTAATGAATTGATGGTATTTAATTTCATACCTTTGTTTCGATTTTGGTGGCAAAAGATTAGCACAAACAGTTTGTGCTCTCATTTCCATCTTGTCAACTTCACTTTCACTAACTGACATTTGTAAATCAGTTTAATCTACCTTCCTTTAACTTCCACCAACTTAGGTTAAGAATACGCGAGTATCAACAGGAACACAAAACAAGTAACCAGTCGGATCAACTATTAAAATTGTCAAATGATCAGCTGATCAGATGATTAGTTGGCGTTTGAAGCATTACAATTTTACTTCTTTTCTCTCAATCCTTGAACTTCATTGGTCCGTTACCCGTGTTGTTATGAGAAAAACTATGCTGTTATGAAATGAAACTATGCTGTTATGAAAGTAAACAGCTGTTAAGTGAAACTTTTCAATTCTAAGAACTGATCTGAAATGGCTACTTTAAAAAACGGTCGTAGGTAATAGTAGTTTACGCAACGATTGCGTAAACTACTATTAAGTATATTCAGTTCTTTAAAAAGATTCACTTAACCGTATTGTTTACTTACTTAACATCATTGTTTTGTTACTTTACAGTACAAGTTAGGGCCAATGCTGTTCAATGATTGAGAGGAAAGAAGTAAAATTGTAATGCTTTGAGGGAAAAGCCTATCTGCAGACGATTCGTATACTACTGAAATGCATTTGTCTTTTATCTGTAATTTACATTATGAGTTAATTGTTAGTTTGTATTTGCGTTTGCATTTTAGGCTGGCCAGTGACGTATTTTAGTTTAGCCAAAGCTTAACATGAATGTAGGATTGACATGGACATGAACTTTCGACTAAACGGCAGTTTATTTATTTACCATTAAAAGCCCAATCGTTCCAAATTGTCCCGAGCCTAAAATCTACTAGTTTCAAATAACCTCTAACTCCAATACCACAACTCTTTCGAATCTCAAACGAAAAATTGAACTACATAAAACACCGATATTAATTACCCACATAAATCATGGAATCTTACCCCAAGACGAATAACACATCCAATCGCGGTATTAACGTCTTAATCCATCGAATCTGCGGCGGAGGTCGGAGGGAAGAAAATAATTAAAAGTAAAATCCGAGGATAAAAACATCAATAACTGGAGTTTAACGCGACACCTCCATTTAGGGGGGCGGTTTAATATTGAACTCATTAGCTTCTAATTGCGATTTATCACTGCGCTAATACAATGGCATTGTTTTGTTTTATGACAAGGGTCGCGATTTTCCCCGACCACAGTGAGTCTCCCCAGAGCCTCTGCAGTGTGTTTGATCACGTTAATTTTCATATTTATGGAATGTTGAAAATTGAATTGAACAATTTTTTTGTGTAAATTGGTGAACCCTTGTGATTTTGACTCGTTTATCCTCATTGTCTTTCCTAGTTATCTTTCATTTTTCAACAATCGACCTAAATATTAAAAAGGTTTTTTGCAGTTTTTCTTGAAGTGAAACACTTTTAAATTAAGTTAGAATAAAGAGTTGCAGTAAAATGTATTTAAATATTTTATTATCATCACATTGAGTTGGAGGTAAGCGTTAACGAATATTATTGTAGTAAATATTAACTAGTATGGAAAAAATTATAAAAACATTGAATTTAATTATTGTAGTATTATTACCCGTATAGGCTATGAATGCGAACACATTGGTTCTTTAGAGAATGGGGATTATGGGAATAGTTTGGGAGCATAGGTTAATCTATCCTACAAGGTAGCACTACCTGGAGACATCTCAGAAACCTGAAGACAGCTACTTAGGATACAATCTGTTTTCCAGGATCCTATCCAAATATGATAAGACATATTGATCCCCTCGAATCATTTTGGCTACTTGGATCCTCCATGTGCATCTACAGCTTTCAAATACATTAATTTCATACATCCCAACTTGCAGGCAGGATACCTTTAAACTTTGCCGTCAACGTAGGTGGAATATGACTACTGAAACTCTCAATGTTTTTACTTAGATACCGACTGATACCTTGATACTATTGTCTGACTACCTACCTGATGGATATCACATGAATGTGCCTGACTAATTGAATATAAGACTACCTGATAACCTCGTGACTACGAGGATACCACATGAATACCTGGATGCTTGACTACCTGGATATTTCACCTATCGTCTGACTACTGGAAGACTAACTGGATACTTCGCGACTACTTGGATACCACCTGAATATCTCCTGGCTACACGGATATCACCTAAATATCTCCACATTTACTAGGAATCATAGAAGTAAAGCTTAATCTTACCGGTACTTATTTAAATGAAGATCCTATATACCAATAAGCTGTGTGGCAGAATCAAAACTAATACATTTTTCAAAGTGTAGACAATCCATAAGAATCAAAAGGTTAACTAAGGGGAAAAGAAAACAACTGAATATAAATCAAATCAAATGTAACAGCTGACTTATATTCTATTTTAAATGTGATGAAAATCAACACTTTGATTAAGGTATTTTCCCTTAGGAGGATTTATCGAAAATTATATTTTTCAGGGAAGGTTAACATCAAGACCTTTCATTTAAGTGTGTTGTAGGTGATAGGTGTCCGGCTTACAGTTTTCTCAAAAGCTTGTTAACATTAGCTTTTCAAAAAGTATGTTAAATAAGTCTGGATTAAGCTTTCACATGATGATTGAAGTTCTCAAAGTTATTCTCACAATCGTTTATCTTTTGTTTTTCAACTCTTAAAATAAAGTAATATTTTATTGCATTTGTACATTGAACTTACTGTTTTCTTCTTGGAAGTCAAGCGTCATGCTTTAGGTGTATGCACATTTTCTTTGTTGCCCACTGCATAACTTCAAATCACAGTTCAGATTACAAAAATATACTTAACAATTATGATGGTACTGTTCTTTAATTTAGGCTCATATGTTTAAGATAATCTGAACAATTACTTTTCATCATAACATTTTGAGTTTGGTTCATATGTTTTTTTTTATAATTTAGAATGTTGAGATTATTAAAATCGGTTGCGCCAAAATTAATTCTACCCGTCATAACAAGAATGTATCATGCAAAACATGCGAATTGTGGTGGCTGCTCTGATTTATGACTTTGTGCGCAACTTTGTACTCTGCCCCATATCTCCAATACTAAACCATTGCAATGACGTCATGGCATCCGCAGCACAGTTCGGTCATTCTGCCAAGACACATACATTGAGATAGGGACGGTCTGGCCGTCGTCAGCGCTATTTAGGAGACAACCAAACTCACTCATTAATAAATTGAATTTCCTAATTACTTGATATTTTTTTTATGTATATTGTTTTTAGTACTTGTTCAAGTAATTGTAATTTAATTGAGCTCAAGAATATTATATAACTTTGACGATAAATTTGTTAGGAGGTGGCATCCTAGAGTCCTTAATTTTTAAGTCATGATGAAATTATACTGGCAAATTGATTTGTTTGGAACATCCTACATAAACTCGAAGAATTTTGTGTTTTTACAAGGGGAAAAAATTAACAATTTCTTCAAGGAACTTTATTTAAAAACATTGTAAGAAAGTATTTTAACAATAGACATGGCTTTTCTTAATACAAAAATAAACACACATTCAGCTGACTGTTAAGCCGCTGTAATATAATCCACAAGTTTGTTAACATCATATTCAACGCTTACATAAAAAATAACAATACAGCACAATTAATTAATATACAAATACAATAAATCTAAAATATAATTCTGTCTTGTGACAATTCTTTGACTTTAGTCTGAGCTGTATTACCCATTTGTAAACAGGGTGCCAATGGCTACAGTGCTTACAAGAGTTATACATGTTCGAGGCACTGCTCATTAAGTACTTACTTTTCAGAATGAAACTACATAGAACAACTGTTTGCAGCTATAAAAAAAACCTTGAATCTTAACAATGAGCATGACTCTTCAAATACAATAACTTCTAACATTAACCAGTGCAAAAAGTAACAAAATACTACAGGTCTTTGGAAAGACACCTGTTAAACAGAACAATATAGACCAATCAACAGTAAATTATCAGTCTTGTTGAAGTACATCACGACAAATCCGGGAATCCATCTGAATCGTACAATTCATCGCTGTCGTATTCTAAATCACTTGGTAATTCCGCCAACGCGCCTCCAAAAATAAACGCTGCAACAGAAGGATTACTTGAGGTATAATAGTTTTTGTTGTCATGGTGGTACATTGGGTTTACAATGGGAGAGACTTATGAAACAGCAGAGTTGCCACCTTTGGCTTAGGAAAAATTGTGATGGGGTCCCCCTCTCCCAAGATTAACATAGTAGTCCAGGCAACGAAAGGATATAGAGGGAAATGTTTGGAACACAATTTCTGACTTCGTAACTTTGTTTAGTATAGTTAGGAGGTTAACATACCAAAAGTCCCCGCCTCTAGCCCTTGTGCTGTGGGGGAGGGGGGGGCTTGAAGGTACCATTTTTTGGTTTTTTGCTGATATCTCGGAAACCATGCGTCCAAGCAAAATTATGCTAATACACAAAATGAAAGCTTATTAAATTTCCAGCAAGTTTGTAATTTTCTATTTTTCGATATCTTGTATGGTTTTCGCGTTATTTGCTATTAAAAGTTTGTAAATTTGGAAAAATAAATTTTTTCCTTATGTTTTTTGTTCTTTTTGACAAGTTACCTCTTAAACTATGCACCCTAAAAATAAATGCTGGGCATAGGGTTGTAGAAAATTAAATTCCCTTCAATAATATATATGACTTTACTAGTTAACCTCCTTCCGTTCAGATTTTAAAGCAAATTAACCGTCACCATAAAAAAAGTTAAATTTAATTATAATTTAAGAAAATTAAAATCTATTGTTTAGCAAGGAATTTGAAGTCTTGCAACAGCTGTTGACTACTTAATATTTCAATTTATCACCTTAAACAGTCAACTAATTGGTTGGAACATTCACTATCAAGTAGCTAAGGCGGGCGTCTAAAAATAGCACAGATACCCATTATAGAAAATATATACTTGTGGGCTGCCTAACCAGCTTCCTCACACTTGATGATTTATTTATTTATTTATTTAGATAACAATACTACATTACAGGCATAGAGCCCAATTACAATGCAGCATTAATCTTTAAGTCCATTTTAGAAAGTTCATGCAGTCTTCTTGGTAGGTACACAAGACATCACAATTTACATAATATTTAACTACTAAGACAAGATAACCTCCGACTGATGGTGCTTTAAAACATCTTTTCCTATCATGTACATTCCAAAAGGTTCAGCTGTGGCTGGGAAATAACCTACCTTCTCTTATGTAACAGTGGAAAAGAATAATAAAAACTCTGTAGTAGCAGAGCACACTCAGCATGAAACTACACTGAAGGATATTCTCAAAATTGTTTTCTGCCTATGCACACATAACTTACTCTCGTGCACTTACTCTCGTGTAACTTACTCTCGTGCTACTGTACTCGTGCAAAATCAGGTAGCAAAAAAGCAAGCCTAAAATAAGTATGCCAAAAATGCCAAAATGTTGTCCCTGGGAAAGATGACTAAGAATATGAAGAAAAACAGTATACCTATTTCCAAAATAGGTCCGATGGAGAAAAAAAGGATAAAAATGGTGAGGATGGTAGTCCTTACAAGGGATAGAATAGTAGGCTACTTACTGATGTAATGTTTTATATTAATTCACTTAAATATGTAATTTATCTTTGTTTAAATTTAATGGTTGTGATTGTTTCCCGTGTCATATAGACACTTTTATATGCATATACATGGTTATAACACCATATTTTCCCATTACAATAGTCTAGCTAGATCATCAAGTGTGAGGAAGCTGGTTAGACAGCCCACAAGTATATATTTTCTATAATGAGTATCTGTGCTATTTTTAGACGCCCGCCTTAGCTACTTGATAGTGAATGTTCCAACCAATTAGTTGACTGTTTAAGGTGATAAATTGAAATAGTCAACAGCTGTTGCAAGACTTCAAATTCCTTGCTAAACAATAGATTTTAATTTTCTTAAATTATAATTAAATTTAACTTTTTTTATGGTGACGGTTAATTTGCTTTAAAATCTGAACGGAAGGAGGTAAACTAGTAAAGTCATATATATTATTGAAGGGAATTTAATTTTCTACAACCCTATGCCCAGCATTTATTTTTAGGGTGCATAGTTTAAGAGGTAACTTGTCAAAAAGAACAAAAAACATGAGGAAAAAATTTATTTTTCCAAATTTACAAACTTTTAATAGCAAATAACGCGAAAACCATACAAGATATCAAAAAATAGAAAATTACAAACTTGCTGGAAATTTAATAAGCTTTCATTTTGTGTATTAGCATAATTTTGCTTGGACGCATGGTTTCCGAGATATCAGCAAAAAACCAAAAAATGGTACCTTCAAGCCCCCCCCTCCCCCACAGCACAAGGGCTAGAGGCGGGGACTTTTGGTATGTTAACCTCCTAACTATACTAAACAAAGTTACGAAGTCAGAAATTGTGTTCCAAACATTTCCCTCTATACCCTTTTTTTAGCATTCGTTGCCTGGACTATAGGCATAAACATGGTCATAAGGGGCCAAAGTCGGGACGGGTGGCAGCCCTGGATCTTAGGAAGAATACCACAGTATAATAGGCTACCATACACAGTAACCTTGGTGTTAATAATTTTATTTCCTCGATAATTTAATTGGAAACGAGCTAGTCTATTGGTAGAGCACAAGTCATTACTCCCTCTTGGTACTGGGTTTAAATCCCGCCAATCATCAATGGATTTATCTATGTGGTAAAGTAGCGACCCACTAGACCTATCAAGAAGTAATTTGAAAATGGGTCTGGTGTCCTAAAATGTAACGGTGGGACATAAAGATTAAAATATACCACAAACTGTATAACACTTTATTTACCTAAACTCAATTTTTCATTATCATTATCATTAGGAGATAGGGACGCCACCTAGGTGTGTATTTTAACCCAAAAATGAGTGAAGGATGAGTGTGAACTGTTAATGTTTTGAGACCTGTGTAGCTTTTTTATGGCTTTTTGAAGTAGAAGAACTAATATTTTTTTACATAAAGCTGTTTATACCTCTCAAACAATTGATACACGGGGCCAGGCATAAATTGTGCATTTTAAGGCAACCCATACACGTAACGATCGGCCGGCCGGCCCGGCCTGAACAGTCCACGCCGGCCGGCCAATCGTTACGTGTATGGGGTCGTTTTCCGGCCAACCCCTGCCTTCAGGCCGATCATTACGTGTATCCGGCCTAATAGGGTTCAAAACTTTTTTTGTGGCAAAAAGAATAATGCAATACCCTTTTATTCTTGAAAGATGATGTCTGTTTGAGACAGTTATTAGGTAGATATAACTACTGATTTACAATAAACATTTTTTTTTATTTTGGTTCTCCACTATAAAGAGTGACTTACCTACATAGTTATGCAAAAGTAGCCCATTTCCATTTAAATCCATTTTAATAAACTTTTCTGTCTCTTGTTTACAATCTGACTACGGGTAAACATTTAACTGAAGAATCAGCTGTTGACACGTAAATTGTTTTAAAGAAAGTCAGCCAGCATCACTGAATCTATGAATGGGAACTCAAACGCTAGGGAGCAAAGCTCTAAGGGAAATTACCTTTTTGGTTACGATTCGTCCCTCTGCCTGATCATAAACTTTGAAATTTCATCTCAATCATAAAAATCTGTTAACGAGGGGGGGTAGATCTGTATGTTAAGGGATATAACAGAGAAAACACTTATAAGTATTATAGTCTGTTCACAAAATTTAGGCGATTTGAAGGGAAGTTACCCCGCAACTATTTTTGCGTATATGCCACGACTAATTGACATTTTGCCAAACCTCAGCTGTTGAGCTATTGTTTTAAAGGTTCAAGTGGATGGGATAGATTTCGTCCCCTAAAACCGCTTAAATTTTGGGAACGGAGTATAAGTACAAAGATGATCAATTTAAGGGATCAGACTTGCCACTCACATTGCTCACAGCCTAGTTTGAGAAGGATAACTACTGTAGGCTAGCAACAAAATGACTAATATCGTCTGAACAGTTAGAACGAGCGAGTTACATATTCCTGATCGACTGAAACGTACTGGAAGAGGAAGAAATGGGTGACTAAAATAATACTATTTCACCAATTACCACAATGCTAAGGAACGTTATTGACTATTATTCCAAAGTAACAGCAATTCCAATCTCTACATTGCGTGGACAAAAATACACTGGTCTATATACAGTATAACAAAAGCCTTCTGTAAGTTCAACAAATTATGGTCAACTCGTCTTCCAGTCTACTCAAACATCATTGTTAAACACTTCCTCTTTACAACCAGTCTATCATAACCTAACAACTTCTGGGCTTTCAGTCAAGTATTTCTCCTCGATGTAATTTGCTTCCTTTTGATCCCTCAGAGGTTTTTTTATTATATTGCAGCTAGCCAATCGTTCTGATGGAGTAAAACAACTTGATTCGTTTCGAGTGTCTTAGGAATGACCTTTTCTGAGTAGATTTTTTTTTCAAAATGCCCAGAGTTGTTTCTTGTCTGTATAATGCTACTATTGTCCGAATTTCCAAGGTTTTCATATATAGTGTTCAAGTTCCCAAGGTTCCAATGTAGGTGATGGATATTTTATAGCGTTTTACAGGGTTAATAGAGAGTAGGATTTCAACATAGGTGCCATTATTGTACACTTAAGCATATATTTTTCAATTACTGATGGGATAGAAAATAGAAATGCTTGAATGAAGTAGGCACTGATTTTGATTATTGATGATTTTTCAGTGTTATCTTATACCGATAACATTGACTATTGGATAATGAAGTTGTATTGATAGTCAAAGCCGATACCTCATATTTTATCCGATTGCAAAAATCACTGACCACTGTCAATAGCTCTTTTTTACAGGACGTTACACTTATTCAGCATAGCTGAAATAAGAAATAACGATTGAAACTGTCAAAATAAAATTCAAAACTGAGCTTAATAATGATGGTTATAATTTTGACTTTTGAGTGAAATTACAATAAGATCTAGGACCGACATCCATTTTAGCAAAATGAACTCAAGGAACACAAACACTGTCAACAAAATGCAGAACCTAACCCAAAGAAAGCTGTTAAAAACTAAAAGAACACTTCGGTTTTTACTGAATAAAAAAACCTTCCAGGCTGACCAACTGGGCAATTTGTAACGTCAGAAACTACTACAACGATAGTTGACACAGTGCTAAGCATTGTTTTTTGTACCAAAGAGCCATATGAAGCAACAAACTCATAGATTAAATGATATGTCATTAAGTACTTAGAGTCGGGACCACATAAGTTTGCAGTTGAGGGAGGAGCCTATTTACCATATGGGTTTGAATGAACCAATGAGAACCGTGCGGTGTTGCCAAATCTAATAATACCAGCTGATTTCAAAATATTGCTTAGTATATTTTATTAGTGCGATGTGGCAACGTTGCACTAGCCTTGTCTTGTAATTGGCTGCCACCAACTGCAAACTTACGGGGTCCTGACTTTAGCATTATTTAATTTGTTTACCAAAGTTTTTTGTTGTAAGATGTATATCTATGTAAATGTGCAACTATGCGAGTACGTTGTGAAACATAAGGCCCAGCGCACACGGTCTGACTGTTTTAAAACTTTCAACCAGTTGCGCGTGCAACTGTTTTGAGACCTCGGCAATGTATTGCAGTGGGGAGGCGCACACAACGCAACTGGTTGTATGCGATTTCAAAAAAAGTTTGAAACCAGTCACATACAACCATGGGCCCGACGTTGCAGACTTCAGTTGCATGAGACCACGGGGTGTTTTTGTGGTGTTTGGTGGTATTTTGGTGGAATTTTGATGGCTGCAGTGTTTTTAGTGTTTATAATTTCCTATCCGAATAGCTCTAGCTGCTACAAACAGCCTAGTACTAACATTCTTGCTCAAATAAGGGTGAACCCAATGCTCTCTCAGTACCCTTCGCTGTCTTCGGTATTGATAATAGCTAATAATGTCTTCTTCATCTGAGTCCGACGTAGTAAGCGCTCTTAAGGCCTTAAAACAACGTAACTGCACTAAATTTGCACTCCACTGATTGCAAAATAGACACAGCTGTAGTTGTAAAACAGTCACACCGTGTGCGGACAGAAGTTTTGTTTCAGTTGCAAACTGGTTCCAGACGCAACTGGTTTGCAACTGTTGTTGTAAAACAGTCACACCGTGTGCGCTGGGCCTAATAGAGATGTTGAAAAAACACAACCTAAACCACAACAACACAACCTGTTTTCACAAATTTGACGAAAGACACATTCTTTCATGTAAGTAAAGATTCTATATTTTCAAAAGTATAATTTTTTATGTCTAAACAAGTCAAGTCGGAAAATAGATATTATCAATTAGGCCTCACTTAAGGTACATTGACTTGGGACAATTAGTCTAGTCGTATTTGAGAAAAATTACCTAAACAAACTCTTATAAGTGTCAAACTTGATATGTATATTGAATTTTACTTCTGTAATAACATACTAAAAGTCCTTGAAAAAAAAAAACTTGTGCTATGGCCGCCATCTTGGAAAATGGCATCCAAAAACCTGTTTTTCCCCGATTACTCAAAAACTATTCATCCTATAAACAAACATTAAATGTAACAAATGTTTGCCAAAGAAAGAGCTAGAACTTTTGTCATAAGAATATTTCAAAGTAATTAATCGTTTAGCCATAAAATGCAATATTAAAAAAATAAATGTAAAAAATTAAAAAAAAAAACATTAATTGCCATTAAAAAAGTTTACAATAAATTTTTTTTGCGAACATTTTTTACATTAAATGTTTTTTTTATAGGATGAATAGTTTTTGAGTAATTTGGGAAAAAACTGGTTTTTGGATGCATTTTCCAAGATGGTGGCCATAGCACAAGTTTTTTTTCTAGGACTTTTAGTATGTTTTCCAGATGTAAAATTCAATATACATACTAAGTTTTACACTTACAAGAGTTTTTTTTTAGAGAATGGAGAAATTTTGATTCAAAATTAATTACTACACTAAATAGGCTAGAGATGTCTTAACCTTTTAAAGCAAATTCCAATAGAACAGATTAATCGAATTTCATCTATAGCTACCTTCTGTGTTTGGTACGTAATGTTCAAGATTCAAACAAATAACTGCCAGAAATTTCTGAATCAGTTTAGTACTCACTTGGATGACTCCTACAGGGGGATTAAAAATCGCATCCACTGTAAACAAATAATTACATTTGTAGGTTTTATATTTTTATTGATATCAATCAAAATATTCAAATACACATTACCCTTCATGGTGGCTAATGTTTGGTACTATAATGATTTCTTGGATGGATCATAGTAAAAATATTATGGTTGGTAGTTTAAATGGATCTCTTCTATTTGTTTTCAACCATTTTACTCTTTAGCAGGCTAAACTTGATTCCTTCTTTGGACTTCTTGAATTTCCATTGCCACCTTTTCACAGTCATATTTTGGGCTTGACTGCCTTCTTCATATTAGGAAGCTACGACTAATTCACTCCAATTTTTTACTTCACAAATATAAATAAATAATATTTTAACAAAATCACAATAGCTTTCTAGTGTTAGCTTGACACTAAACTTGCTCAATAGACTACTTTTTGTAGTTTGGAAAAACTGTACAAGACTCCAACACAAAAATTCAAGTACTTATTCATCTCTAATGTAAACTACATAACAACAGTTTCATTTATTTCGATACAGTAAGAGTAAGAGGTTTACTAAAAAACAAGGCTTAGCTTGGAATGAGAATTTATTGGTCACAAAAATGTGTTTAATCATTACACAGAGATATCCACATACAAAAATAATTGTAAAGGTATAATTTAAGGTAAGAATCATTGACCGTATCCAGTCACAAGTGACTACATCCAACACCTTCCTCGTTGGAATAGCAACTGCTTGCTGAATAACGCATAAACAAAACAAATTATATGCAAAATGTAAAACTAATCAAATAACGAAAATTAAACTTATCAAGTGAAATAACCATAACAAAAAATAACTCCTCAGTCTTTTTCCATTATTGAAAATCAATTTTAATCAATTGAATTTTTCAAACAGTTGTTCGGAGTACGCCACTAATTTTTCTTCTTCTTCGCTATCATTCGCCCAGTCCTCAATGTCTATGTCATCGTCATCGTCATCGAATCCGTAACTTCGAGTTTCATCGTTTCGAAACAGCGTTCCATCAAAGAGATCATCAAAATCAAAGTCACAATCACAGCCTGAAACAGAGAAATCCTCTGACATCTTCATTGCAATCTTCCAATCTTGCCAACTTCAAAAACACTTCATCTTCACGGCTTTACTGTCGTCAATAATTTGCTCACTTTGAATTTCTTGAGAGCGAGTTCCAAACTGGGGCATCCAAAGAGTCTATGGAAATAAATGTAATTTTTCTGTTTTCCGGGCAACCATAGTAGCCAAACAGCTTATTTAATTACATCTTATAAAAACCTTTTGACAACTTCTCCATTCATCGTTAGGTGACAATATGAACTCGATCTTCACAAAAAATAGGAAAACGTACAACCTTTGATTAATGAAAACAATGTATGTATGAAATGTTTTTGAACGAATAAGTTGGCTAGATTGAAAAGGGAAAGTTATTCAATTATTTGTACAAACAACATCTACAATGCATGTGTAACCAATAAGGTTTCCCTGCATTAACAGTGGAATTTTAAAACAAATATTTACAAAGTAAACTCTATATTTTTCTTCAGAACTCCACTTCTAAAGACAAATTAAATTACGTAATATTAAGTTTACCATATTAAGTTGATTGTGAATTTTTTTGTGTTTTATTAACTGATTGAGACTTGATTTAGTTGAGTATGTCACTTTTCTAAAAATTGCAGTAAAACTTAAGTTATGGAATAACTTTTGGTGGGATTGGGGGAGTTTAAAAGAGTTTGTTCCTAAAAGAAATATGAAATTTAAGATATCCATCCTTTTAGTAGAGAATAATTAAAACTATTGCCAAAATGACATAGTAAAATCTATACTGAGACTGATTTACTTTGGTCACTGCTTCAAACCAGACGAATGTATAACAGTAGTTGAGCAAACAGAAAACATCGTATAATCGTTTAAGACCACCTTTGACTCCCTTCACTCCTTGCGCAAGAACATTTTCTACATCCAATAATTGTATTTCACGTCTATCAACTGACGTTGAACTTCAATAGCGGTTGTCAACTGAGATGAACAAATCTACCCCCAGAATGTGATGATATATACTTGGCGGAGGCAACAATTTTCTTCCACAGCGTTTCGAATAATACGACAAAACTTAGTGTTGGAAACAGGCTAGAATGCTAGAATAGTTCTGGGTTAAGTAAGGAATACTACGTCAGGTTTGGACTAGTCCTCTTGTCTGCGACACAAGCTTGAATGAGGCCCATCGGACAACCCATTCATACGATTCTGTAAACACGATAACTTGAGCAACCATTCGATTTTGATGAAAATTGGTAAGAACAAACGCTTATTCAAACGAATTTGGCAATAAATTGTTACTCCAACCCATTCCATATAAGTTGGATGTTGAGCCATTGTAGGTTTTGATATTGTGTTAACCAGTATGATTGGATTATGGCAATGGAGTTTTATTGGGTAAAAACTGGATTAACCCATTTTTGACCCACAAAAAAATAAATATTTTGTAGAGCTTAACAAAATAATTAATTTATCATTGAAGCTTTATTGTAGGCTACGCTCGAGGCCCGATTTTCTAGCTACCGAGCATCGCAGTAAAAAACCGCAGCGGTAAAAGCGATCATGGAAAGCCGAGATTGGATTTTCATAATATAATTTTGCCTGTGATCGATATTGAATCCTCAATCACAAAGAATTGTAATCTGTCCTCAGGATATCCACATAAAAATAGAGGGGCTTGGACCACATTTAAAAATTGTTAACGATTCTTTCATGAAAATGCCGCTGGTTTAGACACTAAGAGTTGATGCCAATGGTGGTGAAATTTCAGTGGAATCAAGAATCGGAATCAGGCCTATCTCTATATTCAATTCAATATATTTGTTAATTTAATCCCAAGATTTGCAGCTCAATGACGGTTTTCCCTAAGCTACCATCAAACCATTATGAAAGTTAAGAAAGATTTAAATAATCATTGTTATATTAAAATAAAAACACAAACAGTTCAACCACTTCAGAGCATTCATTCATTAATTTTGGAATTTTAAAATCAAGTGTTCCATCAAACAGAAAATAAAACCATTAAAAAGAATCCATGATTTTCCAAACCCCATACTACTTCTATTTAATTATCTTTAAAAAAAAACCCAGCTTCACTCGTTGATCTTTTACGTGTTATCATTTATCGGCAGAAAATTAGTTGGTTATCACACGGGGCAAGTCCTTCCAAAACTAAAAATCTAAACAATCCAACTATCAAATTTTCTTCTATTTGGACTACCACAGTAGGGATGAGCATCGATAACCAATGTTTAAGAAATATCTATGGTCAATGTTTTTGTCAAACATCAAAGTTTTAAGCCAACCATCAAAATATCAATGTTTTTCTACAAACAAATTCTACAGTATTAGTAGTTTTAATGACAATTTAAATATTGGACTGAACAAGAAATTGAATTTTTGTATTTATTCCATTGAATGGCTGATAAATTCTGGATTACTTAGCCAAGAGTAACTACAGTGAGGGTTCAAAAGTTGCCAAAAATAAATGTATTTCATTTACAATAAATTCTAACGGCACTGATTTATAATAAACTTCTATAACTGCAAGATCGATTAGTTCGATTCCTTCAGAAAACAGAGAAACTGTCCCTTAAGAACATCTAGCTAATATCTAGGTTAATTAGCTAAGACAGAAAGGAGACAAAAATCCGAAAACAAAATAACATTGCTCTGAAAACATTAATTTTTACATAACGATGTTAGAGGTGCATCAATGATTGATACCAATGTTATAATTGAAGGTTGACCTATCGATGCGCCACAGTCAAGCCCGTGGAACAGTTCCACTTGAGAATGTTCCATTGTGATACTAGTCTCACATACCTGTTCCATGGATTCGATGCTCATCCCTGAATCAAAGAAATTTGCAAGGCCTTTTAAAGTGAGATTAGTAAATTATGATAAAATGTTGGCTAGGGGTGATAGATTTGGAGTAAACAAGCAACGCAATTTCTGGAAGAGTTAACTCGACAGGAAGGATTGTGAATTAACAAGTAAGTTCGTTGACAGAAAGAGAAGAAAGCAACGCAAAACTGTTCTGATACTAAAGTAAAAAATTACCGATTCGCTCACAAAGATGGTCCAGGTCATCATCTTCATCGCTGTCCGAGGGCGGGAAGAACATGTCGTCTATGAAGTCTGGTCGCAAATGTTCCTCGCTTGTGTCCTTGAAATCCAGCGTGAACCGAGGTACATTGTAAGAGGTTGAGGGGTTATGTTCCACTTCCGTTCCTAAAACACATGCAAGTAAATCAATTTTATCATTGCAACAGGTATTTATTTAAAATCAGTTTGGTAGATACATTTTACTGTAGTTCACAACACTTAGAAAAACATGATAAAACATGTTAATTCCCAGAAATGTTTTTCTGTTCAGTACACCATTCATTTAGGCTATTCTTATTTAAAAAAATTTTAATATGGATTTGATAACGAAAGTTATTACCGAAAGTAAAACCTAGTTTACAGAAAGATTATTTAAGGAACAAGGAAGCAAGGTTTGATTTTGATTGCTTAAATACACACAAAACTATGTTCAGACTTAATAATTTATTTTGAAAAACCAATTTGGACATTATACAAGCTAGATATTTAGTCAGCAAACTACTTTTTAAAAAATTGTGTAGGGATAAGAAAAAAAAGACACGTTATTGATTGAACATTTAAAGGAAGTAAGAAACGCACAGACTTTTTGGAAAGCAATGGGCACTTTTAAAAGAAAGGATAGCGATAGGATTGCAGGAAAAATTGTGCCGGTCACATGGGTAAACCATTTCCAGATCTTCTCAAACCGCTGCTGTCGTCTGCTAGCGTCTTTGATTACTAATTAATTACTTGTAACCCTTTTTCTTTCGTATAAAAATTATGAGTTAAATTAATAATAATGTGGCATAATACAACATTAAATTTGGTGGTGAGATAGCTAAATGAGTTAAATATGATTAAGATATTCTATTAAATAATAATACATCAAGTATTGTTGTTGTTGCTTTCTGAGTGGGTGATGGAACATTCCTAACATCCTATGATAACTCAAATAACAAGACAGTAGGCTTACATTGATATTTTAAAACACACATAATTAAATAAGCAGTATCAATCTATATTTAGTAAACAAGAAATAAATTACGAATAATGGATGAAGTGACATGAAAATGAAACATTACAAGTGAAAAGTAATTTTGTACTCTTTCAGGTTACATAATGTGCAATTGAAATTTTGCTCGGCCCAAGGTTTTTAATATAGATTTACCAGCTCTGCCCTAGCTTTAATTGCCCAAGAAATGAACTACACCTTGCTGAAGGCAAAGGGGCTCTTATTTCCTGGTTCAATGTCGACACTCAATAGCTGTTTGTGATAAACAGTTGTCCAAGCCGGCCTACACATTCTTCCTTCCATTTTATTTTAATTGCTTAGCTGCCAATAGTCCAAGATGAGCCGCCCAATCGCTGACATACAAAGCTTCAAAACTGATTCCCAAACCATGGGTTTTCCCAGCAATTTCCCAACGTCTGCACCAAAGTATGTGTTTTTTTTTTTAATTCACTGCTTGATCACTGTTACACTGCTGCAATAGACTAACCCGTTTGCTCTGGCCCTGTCCCGTCAAGAACACGTTGAATAGGCTTCGAAGATGATCTAAACAAACAAAAGTGTATATTGTGACAGCAAGGAATTTAACAGTTTTGCCTTGTACATGCTATTTTTCTTTGCATTCTTATACATATTCGGAACTTGATCTTGATTTTTTGGTTTCGGTTAATTAGGTATGGTAACCACAGATAGTAGTAAAATTCATGAAATAAGAATCTAGAATCCTGATCCTAAATCCAAATCGCATGTTCAATTCAAATGTGATACCATGCAACAGAGAACTTTCTGTAAACATTGGTTCTTACTGTTAATTTACTTGAAAGTAGAAAACATACAGTGGGTACCAACAATAAAAACAGGTTCTCATCTGCTAACGCTAGAATGGGTATCTCACGGGATCACAGCAAATTACATGATCATTTCTAGGATTTCTCGGGATCGCAGCCACATCGGTGATATCTTTCGATCAAGGCAAAATTTTGAGATGATTTTCCCCGGTCATGGCAACGCCTGTGATGACTTATCACGATAGTAACTGTAATGATTTGCCAATATCACAGCACCACCCGTGATTTTTTTCGATGTCGGACATCTTTTATCGTATCTCTTAATTGTGGCCAAACCTGTGGTGATTTCCTGCAATGGCGGTAACATGCAGGATGATTTCCCACAATCGCAAAAACATATGGGTTGATTTCCCGCGATTATAAAAACACCAGATATTATTTCTCCCTATCGCTGATCATTATTTAACGTCATAAGGGTCTTAAGCGATCGTGGCTAAATCCGTTTATTTTTCTAGCAATTATGTCAACATTTAAAATCATATCTCGATTGCAGAAATAACTGTGATGATTTACTGCGATCGCAATAACACCTATGATGATGTCACTTGGTTTCGGTCACATGCGCGATAATTTCAACACAGATGACTATTTTCTTTGTGATTGCGGCCACATCTGCGATCATCTTGCAATCAGTGCTAAATTTATGATGATTTCTTCACCATTTCCCCGGTTGCCTGGACACCCGAACTGAAATGAGCGGACCTAATGAAATGAGCCGTTGGATGAAAAAAGGAAAAGTTCAGAAACCTAGAAACTTGTGTAGAGGTTCTGTGATTCTGTGGAAGGGGGTCAACCCCTAATGAAGTCAGATGTCAGATGTAGTGACAGATGCAGGCCTGTTTGGCTGTTGATATGTACAGAAGGCCTAAACGCACACAACATTACAAACTCCTCCAAAAATATCTTACCTCCCACGCAGATCCTCAGGGGAATGTTGTTGGTTCTCATCTTGACAGACGCCACTGCAGTCTCAACGGTACTAATGGTAACTCCTTCACACCCGCTCAGATCAAACAGCTGTAGCTCATGACACAATGTAAGCACTCTGTACAACAAAACAAATTAACAAATTAAGTTGTACAAGTGGGGTTTGTCACATTCAGAACTGTTTGTATTTTTATCGAGTTTAGGTACCGAAAATAATTTAAGATTAATTACATGAACCATAAGACAATGGTCAAATCTGAGAAAATAAAAATCAAAATATTTCGCGGTTAACAAAACGTTATACAATAAAAATGAAATTTCTTGACCTTGGTTTAGATTTAAAACCATAATCTGGTCATTAAAACTTGGAAGAGCAATTAATTATGTCATTTATTCATTTCATTATTCATATTATATATGAAATAATAATTTTAGGCCTACTTCCTTTTTTGATTATTATTAAAAAGGGGTGTGAAATAGTTAAGTTTAGCGTAAACCACTTGTTGACACCATTCAATATAATATATGTCAATATTTAGTTTTAAATTTATATTAAGGGATTTTTTTAGACACAGAGTTCAGCTAGCTTACCTGTCACAAAATACTATTAAAGAGTTTAAACTCAATAAATCTCAAATCCACCAAACTTTGAAAAATGGGCTTAGCTATTTGATCAGTGAATGTCTATTCAAAACTATGGAGTTAAATTTTAAAGCAAAGGAATGATGAAAGAAGACTGTGTGATACAGTGGTCCGTTAAAATTTCAAACATGTTCACAATGGAAAGAAGTGATAGGCCTAGTCTGGTGACTGACAAACTGATTAGGAAAGTCAACGACATCTGTGAAAATCGCCATTTCACAATAATTATGGAACTTGTTGAAAATTTTCTCTTGGAATGATTCATAAAAATGTTGTGTCCAATGAAACTTGCTGCGGCAATAATATTCTGGAAGATAACGACACATGTGAAAACCAAGTTTTAAACCATTTCAAACTCTTTATCCAGTAGGTACAGAACTTACGCCTGAGGTCCCTCATCAGTAAGACTTGGACAGCCTCTGCAATCAAGCTGCTGCAGTTTGCAGTTTCGAGCAGTCAAGTTCTTCAAAGCTGTGTCATTGGTGGCCTCCAGGTAGGAAATGTCGAGATGAGTCAGTTTCTTGAGACGAGCCAACATAGAGATGCCTCTCTCTGACACTCCTCCGGCGAATTCCCCACCACTACCTGCAACATGAAGGTAAGAACCTAAATAGTCGTTGGTGGCCTCCAAGTAGGATGTGTCGAGTTAATTTCTTGAGATGCTTTTTGGGATTTTTTATAATGAAATGTTTATATATAGGACATTTATACATAAGAAATCTGCCCACATCACTAGAGATTTAATAAAAAAAAACTCTTAAAGAAACTTGAATTGTTTTAATCAAAAATGTGCAACCTATCCACCCTAAAACAAAATGTAAATCTTTATAGATGAATTGTATTGTTAAGATTGTATGTATTAACACAAATTTGACACTATTCACCAATATAAATTGTAAAGTTATAAAGATTATTTGTTTTTATTTCAAACTATTGTGAATTTCCACGAAGAACACTTTAAAACATAGCCAAAATATCTGTAGGCCTATTTAAATGTTTCAAAACTACTTTAACGAATACAAAGGCTTACCAGAGAGTTTGAGATTGGTAAGTTCTTCGCAGCCTTCCACGATGGCTGTCAGTGCGTTGTCATTGACAGCATTGTGGACATGGAGGTTGAGGGAGGTGAGTTTCTTGAGCTGTCCCAATGGAGCCAAGCTGGTATTGTAGAACACTGATGAATAGTGAGACAGGCAGAATGAGGTGATGTTAGGCACCACAGCAACTATCTTGGCCAATATTTGATTGTTTCTAAACACGGTGCAGTCATTCAATGCTACATTTTCCAGCGTAGGTGCCATCTTCTCCAATCCCTGCACAACAATTAGGATATTTTTTAAAACTATTTTTAAGTGCTACAGAGGAAACATTCAAGTTCTTTTAAACTGTTCCCTAAATACAAGCCTTGCACGAATGTGTGAGTTTTGTTACTACAGTACTTTGTCAGAGTTTGTGAGCCAATTTTTTTCTTTGTGTCACGTTGCGTCAGGTTTGAAAATGATAGGGTTGCTTCGCAAAAGTATTGTTGATTTGAATATTAATTATAGGGGTCTGGGGTACAAAAAATGTTAAAGTCTCAAACGGCACAAGTGTTAGGGCCAAACTTAACAACTAAGATGCACACTACCGTTCTTTTTTCAACAGATTCCTTCACTACCGGTACAAATGACTTTAACTATTTAGCTCCAAAGATTATGGATTCATTTCAAAAATCTGAATGATTAAACAACAAACTTTTACTGGATATACCAACAGTAACGTAAGTAAGAGTAACCAAATGCCCGATAAGATGTACAACTCATTTAGGATACTCTACCACCCAATACCCTAATTATTTTAGTCTAACCCTTCCGTCAAGCTCTATTTCAGAGAGGTTAATTGCATGCCGATTTTTTCTGTGCAAAAAAGGGTTTGTTTTAAAACGCTTGAGATTAATGCAGATATCATTAACAGTCAACATCTATTTTCAGCCTTTGTAGCACTAATTTATAAAAACCAATAATGGGTAAAAATACACAGAGACAACAAAAACTTTATACAACACAATTTCATAATTTAAGTGCAATTCATATGTGAAACATCATTCTTACTATAAGATACCCCTATAGCTAACCCCAAACAGGTATTCAAACAATCACTCCATTTTTTAAATTGTGTAGAGTTTTAAGGTTATTAGGCTATAACCTTAAAACTCTACACAATTTAAAAAATGGAGTAAGTAGTTTAACTTTAATAATCATGCATTTTGTAACGAGTACCTAACATACATCATGACTATAGTCAATACACGTTCATGGTGATGGTACTCACACTGAGCAGTACATGAGGAACCAACATAGGCAAGTCGATGATTTTGAGTTTTGTGACGGGACCCTTCATCTCTGTCAAGCATTTGCCAGTGACAACCTGCAATCTGGCTAGTTCAAGCACTTTCAAATGTGTCAACTTGTTCAGCATCGGGGCCAGTTCTTGGTCATTCAATTTGTAACAGCCTGGAAAAGAATAAGCAAGATCGGTGACTACACAAAATGACTGTTTGTTATTATCTTCATAAAATCTATTAATTTTTTTTTTTTCAATTGCATAACTCCATATTTTGTGTTCTAAGAAACCCTGCAATGAGTTACAGAAGGTTATGAATTCTTCCACCTTCCAAGGGATAAAATAGCAAAGAGTTTTGTATCCTACCAGATGTAACCTTATCAAAATTTGTTGCTTTCCAAACACTCTAAAGGCATTTGGGCTGTTTCCTTACAAAAAAGTGAGATGCTCTTTATAGCTTTGTTACTGACTAAGATCAGCTGGTTCAACTGTCAGATCACTCATTTAAGGTCCAATGATCAGGAACAGCTGAGTCCGGTTTCGAACACAAATTACCTGATTTAAAAAATAGCACAATAGTCCTTTTGCCTCTGAAGCGGATTTTTTTTAACAGTGCAAAAACGGCTTATGGTCAAAATTCAGGAATCTGGCACTGCCATAATCAGATACACTACCAATATGCTACTCAATATGCTCAATATGGTGTATCAATATGCTGCTCTCACTCACCGTCCAGAGAGAGTCTCTTGAGCCTAGGACAAGATCGTCCGATGTGAGCCAGGCTTCTCTTGGGAACGTCAATGTTATTGATACCTAGAGACTCCAACCTCCCACCACAATGCTTAGCTGAAAACAATTCACGAATTAGTGGAGATACTTACAAATTCTAATCCCATCATAAAGTATTCAATGTTATTGGCCGTTTTGCGGTATTATAAAATCTATATACAATAAGTGTTTTCGTTTTCTCTATAATACAGTAGAACTTCAATAACAAGACTCTCATGGGGATCATAAAATAAGACTTCTTATCAAGGTTGACTCCTTATTGAGATTTGCATGACATGTGATTAGGGGTGAAATAAATTAAAGGTGGTATGAAAATGGCACTTGTTATCAAGGGTGACTTGTTATCGAGGGTCTTCTTATCGAGGTTCCACTGTATCCCTTTTTCAGCTGATCCCTTTTTAACCGATTTCCACAATTCAGGTGTTATTTCTAAGCTTATGATTCAGCTCATTTGCGAATGGCAACAAAAAAAGTTTCCTAAAGTGCTTTACACCCCCCCCCCTCCCCTTGTGTTTATTTTATTCCTAGAGTACTCTTTCAAGGATCCAATGTTGCTGGCCAACTTTCTTCATAACGGTTTAAATATTAATTTTAATCTTACAGCTGATCTTTCAGTTGAATGTACACAGTCAGATTGTAAAAAAGAGACGGACAAAACAGTTTATGAAAATGGATTTAAAATAGGCTAACATTTTGACAATTGCAACCTGATTGAGGTAGGCAAATCACTTTTCATCACTCCTTAACGAAAGTAACTATTTTTGATAACAGCTGACATCAATGAAAGTAGGTAGTCGTTTCCCAAGCTCTTAATTTAGGGCAAGGGAAAATCGATCTGCTGATTTTCCCTCGCTCTAAATTTACTTTCCCTCGCTCTAAATTTACTTTCCCTCGCTCTAAATTTACTTTCCCTCGCTCTCAATTAGTTCTCCATTTATTCACTACGCGCGCTAGTGTTTTGTTAGGTTTATTTTAATGATTTTAATCAGCTGTATGTATTTTTAAAAGTTGTGTTATTCTTTTATTTTGATGTTTAAACAAAATTTATTGAGAAATGTACGTAGGTTTCTTTCTAGAAAATTTTATTTTATTTTGATGTTCAATCAAATTAATTGAGAAATAAAATTGTTTTAATATTACAGAGGTCTGCTATTCTGTGTTTGTGTATTTTTGCGTCGTGATGAAAATTATCGTTCATAACTCGTACCGAAAGTTATTATCCGGCACTTGCTCCATTATTCTTGTCCTCGGCTTCGCCTCGTACGTGAAAATAGCTCTCACATACTCGGCTTCGCCTCGCACGTGAAATTGATGTCCCCTGTGTTCGGCTTCGCCTCACACAAAACCTTGAGCGTGCGACGGAAAATGCCACTTTCGGTCCTAGTAATGAAATATACTATTCCAGTCTTTGTGGTGTAGATCTTGGAAAAGTAAACGAGCATTAGTATTTTAACTTAACTTTCTAACTCTATTTTAAAATGTGCAATTATCCCCTAGTATATCTATGGAAAGTCTGGTCTGTACAAGTACTAAGGGTAAATTGTCAAAATCGCTGTGATCGGAGCTCATATGAAAAAAAACTACCATCAGTTTACCTTAACATGAGTTATAACATAAAACCCGGCTCACCAATGACAAAGAGCGCTGCACCATCGAACTTGTGGTTGTCGTTGTTGCCGAGATACAGCGAGGTGAGAACCGGTCCACATCTCTTCAGATACTGGTCCAGCGTTCCAGTGTTCATAAACACATGTGTGAGGGAGTTGTCCTTGTTGAAATTCAGCTCGTGCACACAATGCCACATGCGCAGGGACAATGCCTGCCACCGCTTGCACACTGGGAACACACAATATATCAAAACTTACATACAGGCTACTACCATAGTCTACACTCAGGAAACAATAACACTATAAGTGATTTGTACACCTGTGTTATTAATCCTATCGGTTGCCGTTGCAAACTATCATCGGGCACTACAGGGTAACATTGCTTCTTCTGATGGTAATAATATTCCACACACATTTGAAAACTAACAATTAACATGCATGCCTTTATTTTTTTTTCAAAACATTTTTAATATGTTTTTGCAACTGGTGGGAGATTATTTATCCATGTACCAAATGTCATCTATTAGGCCTATATTATTAAAGTGATACAATCAAATTTTATGTAAACGGTTAAGGTTATTTACCAAATAAAAATATAGGCATATGGCACATCAAAATGAAGCTTAGAGTGTGTAGATTTGCCAAAAAGTATTGATATATAGACGAATATCCTAAGGGCTCTGCTCCACAGGCTGATTTCTAAAGGGCTACACCTGGCATGCTTCCAAAGTTTAAATGATTTAATTTAATTTAGTTAATGAAACAGCTGGTCAGTACAATGAACTGATGTTTGTTTATTTACTCGAAAAAGATGTTTGTAACACTTTATGTAGATTGACGAGGGTTATGTTTGGTTTTAAAGAAAGGTTGTATACATTTTGTAAAGTATAGCTCAAAGTTTCATTTTGTTATATATATAGTAAGCTACATGTAAAGAGGCTTGACTAAAATTGAAGAATTATAATAAAACATGTCATTCATGAAGCATCAATATGAAGCAATTGATGCTATTACTACACTAAGGTATGTTGGTCATTTTATTCTGTTGGATCTATTAACATTAAAAGTAGGGGTTTGAAAGTACAGTAAGTAGGTTTACACTTTTAAATCAGTTTATATTTTCAAACTAAATCATAGAGTTGCTGTATTTTAAAATATCAGCACCACCTTAATAGCTCTTTCACATTTTCTTCCCATTGCAAAGCACGGGTATGGCAGCTTGTTACATCATAAAATGACAGAATGTTTGTCAATTCGGTATCATTAAATAGCCAAGCAATATTAAAATGAAAGATGAGTTTATAATTTTGTGTAGCTTATGTTCTGAAATTGTTCTGAGAGAAAAGAATTGCTGAAAGTTTGTTTTTGTAATATGTTAATATGAGGAAGCCAGTCTAGATTTGCTTATATGAATACCCAAAATATTTTCTGTCTCCTCAGGTGTTAACTGGGAATTTGGAAAAGTGGTCGGTTTTAAACTATTGTTACAATCTGATTGAAAATTTACTACTTGAGACTTATCGGTTAACCCCAAACCAGTCACTTAGAGCAGCCAAATCTGTATCTAATGAGTGCTGCAGGGGATTAACGTGGGGCAAACACGTGCTTGGTCATTGTGAGTAGTTTGCAAACACGTCCAATACTTAACCTAACAATTTTTAGTAAAGATTTAATTATTTAAAAGCCCGTAAGTAAAAACCTGAAAATTGTATTTATCAAAATCAAAGAAATGGGGAGTAACAACAGTATGTTATTTAGGATAAAATGATAATTCCAATTAAAATTTCTCTAAAAAAAGAGAATCTTTCAACTAAGATAATTTACCTCTCTCGACACCTGCTGTTTCCTTTAATGTTAGGAATGAAAAAATGTGCAACAAGCAGTCATCGTTCAGCATGTTCAGACTTCCCTGGATTATTTCCGTCTCAACTTTACTTGGGACTTCCTCGGAAGCTATGTCTTCCTCCAGTTCCTGAAAATATAAAGACTAGAGTTAACTGAGAAATAATAAAATCTGGACCATCCAATTTCTACTGTGTAGACATACAAAGAAACTTACATCAACCGAAAAACTTTTTACCAAAATGGCCTACAAAAACAACCTAAATGAGTGTTAGTGTTAGACAAAGAAAGATAAAATGAAAGGTTCAGGATTAGCCTATGGCTGTTAACTGCTATACAGTGCAGACTACAAACACACTACCTTCCTACACTGTGATTTACTAACATATGATTGGGACTTACAACATCTGGCTGTTAGACAGAAACAGACTTCAGCTATGATCACAACATAACATTAACATGAGAGTCCACACCTTTCCAATGTTTTCATAAACAGGATAAACTAGAGACAGGCGGGGCTACACAGGCTAAAGCCCCTTAATTGGACCCTATAAAAATAAATGTAAACATACATTTTATCCTCACACCCTAACAAAGATTATTGGATACAGTTCTAGACATTATGGTTTTAGAAAGTCTTTCAAAATTCCAAATTTTCCAGGGGAGGACCCTCATACCCCATTCTTTACTTAAGGGGTGTGGGATTCCCCCCGGTAACCCCCTTGACAAGGTCATAGAACCGCTGCTTGGAGAATGCTTGCCACGTGCTAACTCATATTTACTAAAAGGATTTAGGGGTGTAAGTTCATTGAGTGTAGACTCACGTTGCTTTCTTCTTGCTTGTAGAGGTTCTTCCGACCACGCCACTCGATAGTTCCGTCGGGCAACTCTATAGGCTGGTGCCAGCTGTCTGCAGGGTTGACGTACATACCGTTGAACCTTTTCAAATTCAGCACACTGTAACAGATCGGCTCCTATTAATATGACCCTTCTCAATTTTTAATAGATTAGTTAGAATGATGAACAGTAGTCAAGTTATTATTCAGTTGTATAATTAAAAGAAAAGCATACCGTCAAGATTTTTGAAATCCATCTTGCACAAAACTTGTGGTAACCAAGCCTTTTGTGATGATTTCGTGCAACAAACATTGTAAAATTTGTGAAAAACTCATTTGTGGAGTTCCTGTGAATTTTCTGCTTTTTACAGACTTTTGCATTGACATTTTCGACAAGTTTGGCAGTCACTATGCTGTAGTCCACTTTGCTGTTTGTCTTGGAAGTTAGTTCGGCCATTTTTAAATTTTATGACCCACTGATGCACTACACCTTAGCATAGATTTCTTATCAAAGATTCAAAGATTCAAAGATTTATTTCAACAAGAAACAAGATTGCACACTTGTACAGTTGACGTCAAGATACTAAGACTAATAGATTAACAAGAGTGAATATATATATATATATATATATATCTAAAGATCAACAATGCCATCTATATAACTATAAACAAGGTAACAAGGTGTAAACATAACAGAGCAAGACTAGTCAATGTCAATAATTAATTACTAAAACTTAAATTAATTCTGGAACATTTAAAATATTCTTCCAAGCTATAAAACGGGTTTTCAAGCAGCCAGGCCATTAGACTAGATTTAAAGGACTTCATGCTAACATGGTGTGACTCAAGAGGTAGCCTGTTAAACAACTTAATACCAAGATAAGAAAAGGATTCTTGTGTTTTTGCAAGCCTTGCCTGAGGTAAATCTAAGTAATGTCTCCTCCTGGTTAAATGGACATGAGTTTCACCTCTTAAAGCTATGGAACCTAGATTTGCTTTTACATGTAACAAACACTTAAAAATAAACAAGCTATAAACAGTTAAAATTTTTTCATGGACAAAAAGTGGTTTACAATGTGCATGGTAACTAGAACTTGTAATTATTCTAATAGCTTCCTTTTGCTTTGACAAGACTCTTTTCATGCCATGGCCACAGCCCCAAAGTAGTATACCATAGCTTATAATGCTATTGAAAAAAGCAAAGTAAGCCAATCTCAAGTAGGATTTTGGTATACAAGTTTTTAGTTTTCGAAGAAGATGAACTACTCTTGATAGTCTACTTGTAACATTATTTATGTGGGAATTCCAATTGAGTTTTGAGTCTAAATGTATTCCTAACAGTTTTACATTCTCATTCACATAAGATAAGCTAAGATTCCTGTTTCTTAAGCTAAACAAAATAGACTGGGTTTTGCTACTATTTAACAACAAACCATTACTTTTAAACCATATATTACATTCAGAAATGCAATTTTCCATCTGACCCTTAATACAAAAGTTGAGGGTCATCATTACATCATTACAAAAGAAAGTTGAGTCGTCAGCAAAAATTATTGATTGACAGGGTGTAGGAACATAGGATGGTAAGTCATTAATCAAAACCAAGAACAGGAAAGGGCCAAGGACCGACCCCTGGGGTACACCACTTTCAATCACCTCTGCATCAGAGAGACTATTTTTGTAACAAACTCTCTGCGAGCGGTTGGTCAAATACTGGCGAAAAAGGTTATCAGTTTACAGTATCAAATTTTATGGCTTCCATTTTGGTTAGGATGTGATATCAACCTCCGGGTTGGGTAATTTAATTTCTAATGATAAACCCTTTAAAAAGAGAGGTCACTCAATAGGGATTTACTTTTGAAAATTTGGGGCTTTCCCAAATACCCCATTTTGAGGGCTGGGCCAAAGCCCAAAATTGTAACTGATGAAAAAGTCCAGTTTTTTTATTTTGTAAACATGTGCCAAGTTTGGTTTTCCTACTGCAACACGTTAAAAAGTTAACTGGGGGTGTCCTGACATTTGCCTACCCCTGTAGCCTATATAATCATGTAGGCCTACAAAGGTGATACACTGAATAGGCCTAGTGTCAAATTCAAATAAATTTATTTCAGAAATATCAACATTAGGCCTACATTTAAAACTATGGGCAACTAAAAATACTCAGAAAAATTTCTTATTTTACTCACCGAGTTGCATCCAGAGGATTTACATAAGTGACAAATGCAAATTGTTTTTGGTTGCAATTCTTTGACAACCCCATGTAAACATTATAAACTATTCCACATCGGCTAAAGATATCCATAATGTCTTCTCGACTTTTCTGAAACACAGAACCCATGTGAAATTTCTACTGTATACAATGCACAAGATATGGGCTCTAATTTAGTGATGAGTGAAAACCAAACCAAAGTTTAACACCATCAAAACTTTGGAAAAGTTATGATTTTGCGATTCAATTGACGAGTTTTTAGATTCGAAAGTTAAAAAATTGAAGATTTTGGTAGTTTAGGTCTTGCAACTGCTGACATTTTCTGGTATCTATTATTGTTTATAACACCGTTTACACATAAGCAGGCAGCAATGGAGCAAACGGACCACCACTAACACCGCTTAAAAAAGTGAATTACTGTATATTTTAGACCACAATAGGTACCATTTCATAAACACTAATACTGGAACAATATGGTTTCATGTTATTAAACACAAATAAATATTGCTCCTAAAGGCCAAGTCACACCGAGCTCGCTCCCGCGGCGGGAGCGAATTTTTAAAAATCGCTCACCATGTTATCAAATGGGCCAAGTCACACCGCACTACCGCGCGCCCGCGGGCGTGCGGTAGTGTCTGCCACGTCCGCCTGCTGAGCGATTTTTTGAGAGTACCGCGGCGGGAGTTTTGTCTAGCGCATGCGCAAAGGGGGAATTCGAATGCCCAAGCTATTTAAAGTTTAAAAGTAATACAGTTTCAAATTAAATTTAACATGTTTCTTTTGTTTGATGATGTAGTAAATGTTGTTTTATATTATATTCGTAATTATGTTTATCACCAGAAAAAATCATTTTTGTTTACCATGCAAAAATAACGTTTACAGTGAAAATTTAATGTTTCCCATGAACATTTTTATATTGCCGACGTAAACAACTTTTTTTATTGTTTCATCAACTTTTTCGATTTGCAACAACCAAAACTTTACAATCAATGTAAACTTGAACTTTCAATAGAAGGCTTAGCAAAAAATTACATTAGTTTTGAAATGGTCATATGTTTTTATTTCAAAAGTAAATAGTCTTTGTAGTGTAGCGAAAAATAACGTTCAAAATGCTGAAAGTGGATAATTTATCCTCAACCATATTTAAAATGCTTCAAACACAAGGTCTAAATTAATTTTAAAAAATAATTATTCACTTTTTAAAGTAGCCCTACACTAACAAATGAATAAACATTCAATTGCTACTTAAACACTTTACTTAAAACCTGCAAATTTACATGGCATACTAAACAAGTAAGTTGAGTTTCTTATGTAAAACGAATTGTAATGAACTCATCTCAAAACTCCCGCCGCGGACGCGAACTTTTGGTGTGACATGGCTCGAGGAAAAACATCCGCGCGCGGTACTCCCGCGGCGGGAGCGGCGGAAGTCGGTGTGACATGGCCTTAAATGTTTTAGCTCACCTAATAGCCTATTCATCTTAATTTAAATGTTAGGAGTTTAATTTAATATTATCAATTGGGGTGGGGACGCCACCTATGAGTGTGCGTTACCACAAATATGAGTGAAGAAGTGTAGAATGGAATGAGATTCCTCCATGTATCCTTGTTAAGGAGTAACAAAAAGAAGAAGCTGTTTCATTAGCCATGACCATTTATTAAAAGCCCAATAATCAAGGACAACCGAGCCCAGTTTAAAGTTATATTAATATGTTAGGGATTCATAATTACGGTATTGTTTATATTGAATCGACTTGTTCAAACCATCTCGTAGTAGTCATGGCCTCCTCTAATACAATGCCGTTCCGCCGTTCTAATAATACAGTTCCGCACAGAACCTACGATATATTATCCGATGAAATATTAGTTCTATAGGCTATATAGATTATATATTAATTTTTTATGCGATTTTTATATAGACTCAATTGAATACGAACCTTTAAAACCGTTGGTCTTTTCAAGAAGACCCTTTAACAGTGTGCTGCGGTGGTTAGGCTATTTTAGTTTAGTTCAGTCTAGCTTAGAGTTTAAATAGTAATAAAGAGCAAAAATTACATTTGTAACATCAAAATTTGATGTTGTATAAATTTAAGGAGACAAATTTACAAAGACTTATATTTGTATTTGTGTTTTCTTTTATCATGAGTTTAGAATAAAGGTATATATTGTAAATGATACCTTGTTGGTGATTATGATAACTAACTAATCCAACCTAACCAAACCTAAACCCCACAGCGCGCTGTAAAAGAGTGGCAGGCAGCTCTAATATTAAAAAGACGCATAACAGAAATTCAGTTTATAATGAACAAATATTGCATCTGATCATATGAGGTTCCCTGCGGTAACTGTACCTGTCAAAAAGCAGCCCTGCCTACTTAAACAGCTGTAGCACTAATTCATAATGGAGCGTCAGCATAGTGTTCATGTTTGTTACGTACGTTTGTTATTATTGTTATTACCATGGCAACAGGCTGGTTGGTGCAATGTTGCCACAACTATAGCCTATAGCCTATTTTTAATTTGCAGCCTTGCATGAGAGGAGGCTATGATCTTGTGCATTAAGTATTAAAATCCATTAATCATTCAAATGGTTTAACTGGTTGGAAAGAATTAATAACTATTTAAATGACAATTTAAATATCTTACCTCAATAGATATATTGTTAATGTACACTGTCCGGATAGGTATTCCATCCCCTGTCAATTTGATTTCCAGGGGCATTGGGGGGTTAGGGCCATCGTGCCTACGGCGGTGATGGTCCCTCGGAGATTGGTTCCTCGGAGAATGGTTCCTTGGATGATGACCTCTGTAGCCTGCGGGAAGAATCAATTCTCAAGACAACTCAACTGAATCATACTAGTCTAGAGGTTGAACACCTTGTTACCGGAAGTAATTCTTGGTCGTCTTAACCCATTGATCACGGAAACACTTTGAACACGCCTTGAAAAAAAACACGCCTTGAATCACAGAACTGTTCCGTGACAGCTGTTGTAGGCTCAAATGTTGTATCACGGAACTATTCCATGATGACAACATTGTGTTGTTATTTTTTTTCAGTGTGGTTATTAATGTTTTTGTATTAAATAATCATTAAAGAAAAGGAGAATCATTAAGAACGGTAAAAGTAAAATTAAAAAAATATTGTGGTTCTATTTAATGGAGTTATAACTATTTTAGAACTTCAACTGTATATTTAACAATGAAGTGGCACAGAGATTATATGACAATAGCCGCATATTTATAATCTGTATCGTGCTGTTTTGGTTCAAATGTCTTTAATTTGTTCTGTCAGTTACAAAGCCAGCTGTAAAGCTCAGTCTCAAAATAGCAGTTAGTTTGTCTACAAGTAAACAGTTAACGATCAGTTCGGTTTCGGTGGTTTAGTCAGTAATGTGAGTATGGCAGGCAGAAGCAGTTAGAACAATGGCCATGTAATATTTTCCTGCAAGATCGACCGTCTACTTTCTTGTTCGGATGACGATGACGATGTGTTTAGTGCGTCCAGTGACTGTGGGTGGATTTAGGAGGCAGAACAAATAGACTTAGGTACTAAATGATGTAGACAAGGCCTCGTGGACAATAACGACCAAGACCAAGAGGGGTCGGAGTTTATTGATATTGATGAAAGTCCTGAGGTTAGAAAGTTATCTGCTCTTAAAAGATGGAATAATCAAGTTGGGTCGAACAGCTTAGATATTTAGCAGTGGTGTTTGACAAGTCTGGGAGCAGCAGTGAAGGACGGAAAGTGTTCAAAGGGGGAGAAAATTAACAAGATCTTTCAATTCAGTTTGGTGGGATATAGTTCAATGAAAACTAAGAAGAGAATTTATATAAGCCTATGGTGCAGAGTGTGGTAACGTATAGGTCAGAAGTCTGGGATTTGAAGCAAAGAAACATGGGAAAGTTGTTGCATACAGAAATGGTATATGCTCAGGAGGAGTTGTAGGGAGACAAATTTGGACAGAGTGAGGAATGAAGATATAAGAGAAATGGAAGTTGATACAGTAGAACCTCGATAATTCGGATTTCAAAGGAAAGAAAATTTATATTTAGAATTATGGGAAGTTTGAAATATATAGTTTGATTTTAGAGGTCAGAATAAATCAAATTTGAATTATGGAGGACCCAGCTTTAAGTGTAGAGAGTTTGAGAGAAGAGACTAATGAACACACCGTGGGAACATTAATAAGAGCGTCAGTTCATGTTCCAACAGGAGTATTTTTTGTCCTGAATTAGAATTACAGAGGCTTACGGTAATGCAGTTTGAATTGTAGAGTTTGTCTTCTAATTTTGGAGGTAACAGTTTGAATTACGGCAACAAAATTCGAATTTGTAGGTGCTCAAATATGTGCAAATTCGAATGTAGAGGTTCCATTAAGCGGAAAGACCATTTATTTTGGCATAGGGTATTATTTTTCAAATTTTCAAGGTTTTCTGAAGGGATCAGACCCGAACATTTTAGAGGTTTTTTAATTATCGAGGTTTGAATTAGCGAGGTTCTACTGTAAACACGTAGTAGCTTAGATGAAGTGCAAAGGAGACAGTTAGTCTGGTTTGGCCATGTAAATTGTATCAGAGGAGGGCCGACTCTAACAAGTTCTGGAATGGGTTCCACGATGGGAGGAGAGACAACCCAGACGCAGTTGGTATATGAGGATACAGGAGGCCATGGCAACAAGGGGACTTCATATCAGCGACTGCCCTGACAGAAAGTTGTAGAAGCTGGCCGGGGGCAGAGCCACGGCACGAGCTGTAGAAGTCCGCAACAAGTAGCCTAACTTTTTTTATGACATCCATCCAGTCAACACTGGTCATTACGCCTAATGGATTCATGGTAAAGTTTAAGGCTAGGTAACTTATAGGCTACCTGAACCAGATCTGACAACACAATAGGCATAGACTAGGAATTGATTTATTTAGCCTAAGAGCTGCAAGTTTAACGTTGTTTCCCAGCACTCGCAATGGCACGGTTTTTTGGCTGCCAATAACAGGTTGCCGCATCCTTTTATTTCAGAAACAGTGACAAGAGTTTGTTGCCAAATGTCCATTGTCGAGAGTCTGTTTTCAACAGGCATTTAGTCCCGGTCAGCAAAAGTTTTTAAATGCTTTAAACATTACTACTAACTTAAACATTTACAAACAACTACAAACTGACTAGGCCTATCAACAACGGTTTTGTCAGAAATCACTTTTAAATAGGTTTTTTCTAAATGGTGTTCGGTGAATCTGTTGAGGCGTTGCCGCAATGCAACTAAAAGCGTTTTAATAACAAGGAGTTCGCCGTAACGGGCTAACTTGACAACAGTTATCGGTAATTCTGAGCAATTACTGGGTCAACCCCAAACCTTTTCATATTTTACTACAGTCATAAGGATGATCTCAGAAAACAAGAAACATATCATTCAAGCACCGCAAGGTTAGGTTAGGTTAGGTAAGGTTATGAATTAACCTAACCTAACATAACGGTACTGTCAAAACTGGCCTTCCGCACGTCCAGTATGAATTAACCTAACCTAACATAACAGTACTTTCAAAACTGGCCTTCCACGCGTCTCCCACAAGCCACATTATCGCGTGTTAGCGCGCTTTGAACCTTCTTATCGCTCGGCAACCTGTACGATGGCCTTGTGGGGCTTGAATTAGGCCTATATGTTTCTTGTTTTCTGAGAACATCCTTATGACCGTAGTAAAATATGAAAAAGTTTGGGGTTGACCAAGTAATTGCTCAGACTCAGTTGTCACACGTTAATTCAACCAGTTAATTCAGTTGCCTAGCCCTGTTAATTCAACCTGTTGTTTTAAGTTAGGCTATAACTTATACCGCATATTTTTGGATCTATACCGGTAGTGCACATCTCTATTACAAAGGAGGGACTAACAGTCACATGAGTTAGTTAGCCTAAACTAACTTAGGCCTAGGGTTAGGAGTGAAAAAGCAGGAAAATTTAACTCTTTGATGTCAAAAACATAGGTAGGCCTGGCCTAGGTCTTCTTGTCATTACAAAATTATAACATTAACTTAGGCCTATCCCATATACCAAGCCGGCAAATATTTACCATACTTACACTGAGATATTATGTAATTTTTATATGTCTAGGCCTACTTACAGTATTTTTCACACTGAATCCAAAAATGCAATCAGTTTTTGTCGGAGAGGTTCCTAAGTAGCCGTAGTGGCCGTAAAACGAAGGTTAAGATTACGAACCTAAGGATAATTGAGCCGTACTGAAGGTAATGGTAATATGGCATGGTCTGGACGGGTCCGTAGCCTACTGAGTGAGGAGTGAGGACTGAGTGAGTAGAGCAAACAGCTGTTTTTATTGATCTACTGTAATGCGGAATGAAATCAAATCGATTAGTTTTGAAACCAAATAATCAGTTCTTATTTAGGCATGTGAGGAAGGTAGGCCGGGTAAGTAAATGCGGATTTGTGACTGTATTAAGTGTTTTGAAGTGAACAATAAGCATTTTTGATACGGTATCGTTATTTCATTGTGTTTCACCCACTATTTAATTGTGCAAAAACAGTTTGGAAGTAGTATTAATTAACGAGTCGGTTCATTATAACCTAACCTTTAACTTACCTTCCTAATCTAACCTCACTTCAAAGGACTTAATACAGTCACGAATCCGCATAAAGTCCGACCTATCTTCCTCACATGCCTTTTCTGACATAAAATGTGATTTAAACATTGATTAAGGTTGGGTTGGGTTAGGTTGGATTAGATTAGATTATGTAACATCATTTATTAGCTGCTAATACATGAAATTAAGTTATGCACTGTGGCACGTTTTCACTTTTAGGCACAATGGGATGTACTATGGGATTATGGACTTAGGCTATGGCACGTATGCACGTAAAACTGCCAATAAACCACCATTAAGCTATGACGTCAGCGTCAGATCAGTAGATCAAGAAGGCCATGGCTGAAAAACTTCCTAACCTCAAAATGCGTTTTTCACTATAAAATGTAAAACATATACCTTTTAGGCAGTTTCAGAGTGTTTTTTATACAAAAATACAAATTTTTTATAACTGAGGTGATTAAATGAAGTATAATAACCACTAATAACACTTGTTTCTATACCATAATTGTATCTCGCAATGTACTCCCACGTGCAAAGATAGTATAAAAACCTGAGCTAGTAAAAACAATATTCTGCAAAAACGGTTTATACGATTTTGGTAATTTTTATGTAGTATGATTATAAGTATTTAAGCAACCTGAGAAATAATTTGCAATCCCATACCATGGTTATGATGGAATCTATTAGATGAAGAATTTGAACCTGTCACTTATAACTTAAGACAACTATTTTTACATTTTGTATAAACATTATATCTCAAAAATCGTTTACGATTTTAATGATTTATATGTAGTATGATCATGATGTCTTAAGCTACCTGTGAAATAAATTGCATTACCATACCATGGTTATGATGGGTTCTACAACAGGTAGAAGTTAGGCCTGTTCATTTCTAGGCTACTGACTTGACGAATCAGTTAAAAATTTATATCTCAAAAACCGTTTACACGATTTTAATGAATCTTATGTGGTATGATCATAATGTCATAAACTACCTGAGAAATAAATTGCATTTCCATACCATGGTTATGATGGGTTCTACAACAGGTAGAAGTTGGGCCTGTTCATTTCAAGGCTACTGATTTGACGAATCAGTTAAAAATTTATATCTCAAAAACCGTTTACACGATTTTAATGAATGTTATGTATTATGATCATATTGTCATAAGCTACCTGTGAAATAAATTGCATTACCATACCATGGTTATGATGGGTTCTACAACA